TAGCCCGTCTAATCATTAGTTAATCACCGTCATTGTGCTCACCTGTCTGCCTCTAATTATTCACCCCATATTAGTTCCTGTCTGTCTGAGCATTGGGGTCGTTTATTGTTAATGTTACCCCGAGTGTGTGTCTCACCTACCTGAACCTGCCTTGTTGTGTCTACAATAAATGTCATTATTGGAATCCTTGTCGTCCTCGTCATCCTGCCTGCCTCCACACACCCGTTTCCGTGACAGTATGAATATCCCCATAGGGATCTATTGTTTCGATTCAAAAGCGTCATCGCGCTGAATTTTCGCTTTCAGTGTGAAAAGCCTTTTAGAATCAACTCCAGACCTTTTACCTGCTTAATTGATGTAGAAATAACGAAGGAATAGCCCACATCTGTCCATGAAAAGGCTTTTGAGTCAACTGTCCAATTACTTATGGTCCCTTAAAAAGGGGGGAGGTACATATTAAAAAGCTGTATCTTTATAATGGATTTGTTTTGTTTTTGAAGCCTAACAATTGTCTGTTTCACCTGCATGGAGAGCGCCATTGACCGAATGATGTGGGTTCACAGCAACAGCTTCCGAATGCAAATGGCACACTTAGAATCAACTCCAGACCTTTAACCTGCTTAATTGATGTAGAAATAACGAAGGAATAGTCCACATCTGTCCATGAAATGGCTTTTGAGTCAACTGTCCAATTATTTATGGTTCCTTAAAAAAGGGGGGAGGTACATATTAAAGAACTGTAATTCCTTAACCTTTCCTCCAATTGTCACCTGCATGGAGAGCGCCATTGACCGAATGATGTGGGTTCACAGCAACAGCTTCCGAATGCAAATGGCACACTTAGAATCAACTCCAGACCTTTAACCTGCTTAATTGATGTAGAAATAACGAAGGAATAGTCCACATCTGTCCATGAAATGGCTTTTGAGTCAACTGTCCAATTATTTATGGTTCCTTAAAAAAGGGGGGAGGTACATATTAAAGAACTGTAATTCCTTAACCTTTCCTCCAATTGTGATGAGAATATTGTGATGAGAATACCCTCAAATTAAAGCTCAGAGTGTGCACTTTAAGCTCATATATAACTTATATAACTGTAACTTGAATATGTTTTGGTCAGCAGCTACAATAATAAAAATTATATATGGACCTGACTGTATATAAATTTAACATTCAGATTCATATTCTGGATGTTTTCTTTCCATTAGTCTGAAAGAAGACAAGTTATGGAAGCAAAATTGATCAAAAACACAGTTTTCCAATGAATGAAAAAAACAATGGCTTTGCCTGTAGTGTCTTGCTTTAAAACTTGATAGAAGGTAGCTTTAATTACATTCATGGTGGCTTTAAATATGGGAATAGACATAAGTAAAGTTGTGCAAGTTTGTGCATTTACTCACACGTGTAGCGGAGGTACTGGTGAGGGTTCATAAATGTACCGGCCTTGTGCATGTCTATCGTCGATTGGTATTGGAGGATGAAAAGCAGGAAAGAACTGAGGTGTAGCTGTAAAATGAAAAAGAGAGTTTTTTGCGATTAAATGTTTAAATAGAAGTACCATGATACACAGTAAATTGTTTAGTAAGTGTGCATTCACAGAATTTATTGCAAACAAACAAAAAAGGTATTTAAGTACACTCACGCAAACACACAATTCGGTGTGCAGCACTGTCGCAACCACACAGTTGCTTCAAAGCTAATTAGCAAAAACATCTTCTGTATCCTCTATACTATGTCCTACATGTGTTTGTATTCACATACTATATGCAGTGTTGGACTGTGTGCTGTACTGCATAAATAAAATGTAAAAAAACCTTCAAAAAATGATTCCTCACAACCCTCAGAGAGAAGGTGGGAGGACCTTATAAATCCAGAGCTAAAACACTAAAACACTCAGATAAAATTTGTTAACAAACAGTTCTATATCTGATAGAGGGAGTATAAGTGCAATCAAGTATTAAACATCAGTATAAAACATCTTTCAAAGCAACTCAACATTTGAGTTTGAATCTCTTTTGGCTAGGACAATTCCAAGGGCCCTAATCAGAGAGGTGTGAGCTGTGCTTCATACATTGCTACACTATTAAACATTTTTGTTCACAAAATGTAGCTGAAATTTCACTAATGTGACCACAGGGCTAGAGAGAATGAAAAATCTTCATATCTTTAAAATATAATAGTGTTGGGATCTATTTAAAATACCATGGTAATCTGATACCCACCATGGTGCTAAAAAAGTTACAACAGAATCATTTATAAAAGCTTACCATATTCATCTACTATGATACATATTTTTATTACAATTAACTTCAAAGTGTATCATGGTACATGTTCAAAACTGGTATTAGCATGATACTTTTTGTTACTGAAATGTAAAGCATATAAAGAGAAACCTAGCAAAAGTAATTAAGAATTGCAGTGGGCTCTGGCACTGTAACAAGGCAGGGTGCAGCAGCGGACGTGTTTTTAGCTTGTAAACATCTGGCATCTGTGTGCCAAGGTGTTTAAGGGCTGTGCCCAGGGACCAATGCCTAACATCTGGGTCCAGTGCTGCACAATACAAGCTGCCAAATGCAGCACTAACACCGGCAGCCATGCAGTGAGTGCCTCACATTTGTAAACCCATGCTTTACCTCATTCCTCACCTTGCATTAAGCCCTTATATCGTTAGCGTTCCATGTGACGGCGCTCAGAAAGCTAATTGGTGAAACTGCAAGTACCGCAGCTCTCATTCCAACACTAGACCTTGAGAAAATCACATCCAATAAGAGCAGAAAGCCAGAAAGAATTTGACACTCGACCCAAATGTGTTTTTGAGAGCTGTATTTCTTGTCCTTGAACTGAGAGAACATAGAAAGAACTCAAACAGTGATGCATTAGAAAGCAGAATTCATGACCAGCTGCATGCTGGAAAACGCATATAAACAGAAATGAGAAATATATCTAAATCATTATAAAATTAAAACAAAACAACAGAACAATACAGTGATATGTTCCAAAGAGACCAGATTTTTGCATTAAACATTGAAGTTTTTTTT